TCAGCTTTGGTTTCTTCTACTAGTTCCCTTCTTTTTAAATGTCTGCCAGCTTTACTGGGAAGGGGCAGAATGGGGATTTGAACCCAGCCATGTCTGTCTAACTCCAAAGTCACATCAAGCTGTTCTATCTCCTCTTTTGTGACCTTTGCCTATCAGCCACTGTGCCAGCAAGGGATGTAACAGTGAATCAGGAGGAGCCGGTCACATCCCACGGGCTGAGAGAGGGGGTATCTGGGCCACAAGAGAGGCCTGCTTGTCAGCAACCAGAAATCTGTCATTGCCAACTCAAGCAGGAACCTTCTGTCTGACCCAGAGCACACCTATTTCCCTTGGCTCTCTTTCTGTAGCTCAGGGAAATTTGAGTGGCTGACTCCATGTCACTGCCCTGAAAAGCTTCCAGAATCTTTCCTGAGAAGTACTGGAGAGAGTCTGTTCTATCTCCTGGCTGATGCTCTGTGACAATTGAATGATGGATCATATTGCCCTTAGGGTAAATCAGCTCAGCCTGGACCACTGGGGCTTCCAGAGAAATCGAAATAAGCAACTTCTTTAAAAGCCCTTAAAAAACAAAACCGTAGCAAACCAAGCTTCTCTTGATCAGCAGCTCTTCATTTGTTGGTTTGCTGCTTTGCATGCCTGGCATGGACCTGGCATCTGGGACAACCTGAAGTGTCAGGTGGGTCCAAAGCCTGCTGAGTGCTGAAACTTTGCTTCCTAAGCCTTGGAGCTCCGTAGTCCACCCACCTCGGGTCCCCTCATCTTCCTGGCCAACGAGTTCATCAGCCCGGGTCATAGTATTAGCAGCTACTCATTTTGAACTTTTGCTCTGTGTCAGTCTCCATGCTGTGTGCTTACACACATTATCTCATCTCATCCCCCCATTGTGAGGAAACAGAGTCAGAGAGGTTTCACAGGTCGACCAGGGTCATACTGTTAGGATTTAGCTGAGCTGAGGTTTGAAACCTGAGTCTTTCTGAATTTAACTTCTCTTCTGAATTTGGAATGACTGTGCTGGAAGGGGCCTCCCCTGCCAGACTTGTATGGTCAACAGCATAGTGAAGAGCAAGGTCCCATGAGCTGGACATCCTAGGGTTCAAGTGCTGCCTGCCCAGCTTGCGCAGCCATGGGCAAGTTGATAAATAACAGCTCCTCCTTCTAATGGGGTGGTAGTAATAAGACCTACCTTTACAGCCATCATGAAGACTGAATGAGCTAATACTGTGCCCAGGCCTGCCTGACACACAGTGAGCACTCATTACTGTTGCTCCTCTCAGAGTGCCTGCTCAGTGTTTGCTATGGGAACCCCTCCACCTCCCTCCCATGGGCAAGCTGGTTGTCAGCTCCTGTGTGTGGATTTCCCAGCTGCTGACTTGGTGAGATCCCATGAGTTTGCTGCAGCTAAGACAGCAATGGCTTAGGGCACATTGGTTCGCTTAAGTCCCAGTGTCCTGCTCCCAGCAAGCCCTGCTCAGGCCCCTTGGGTGAGGCCCAGGTATGCCGAAGCACAGGGTGTCTGACACCCAGCACAGTGCTTTGAGCCCAGCAGGCACCTGGCACGTGTGAAGAATCTGGGGAGCAGTGGGCTGTGCTGCTGTCCCTCCTCAGCACAGAGGTGTCCTGGGTCCCTGTGGTGGTGAGATGCCTGGTTTCCCAGGGCATGACGGGGGGGTTCAAAACTGGTTTTGTGCCTGAGATAAGTGGGCACAGGGGACTCTCCCAGAGACTTCAGCTTGTCTGTATTGAGTCAGCAAGAACCAAGGACTTGAGTATGAATAACCATGGTCCTGCCTGAGGGAGACATCTAATGCCCTGTATAGACTCTGAACATTGAAGTAGGACATTTGAAATGTAAAAAATAGCAAGTAGTAAGCACATCAAATGTTTATCCTGAGTTTCACACCACCCCTGGCTCTCTGGGGCAGACTTATTGCCCCCACTCCTCATGGCTAAGCGAAGCCTCCGGGAAGTTTCTGACCAATCCCAGCTGGATCGGGTCCTAATGGGGTCCCCATTGCAGAGTGCTCTGTCCGTCTCGGCTCTTCACAAAGGGTGGCTGTTGAATACACTACTTTGGGATTTGAAAAATCTGAAGTATTAACAGTTTATTTTGGAGAACAGGAAAAAAGAAAAAAAATAGTTTGTTTTTTATGCTGAGTTTAAAATGACCTATATACACCCTGCCAACTTCTGAGGGCTGTGGATCCTAAGAGAGCAGTAGCTCCCCCCACCCCCAGCTTGAGTCAGGCAAGAAAGGTGGCTTTGCTGGGAGAATAAGCTGGTGGGGTGGGGGGCCTGGCCTCTCAGGGCCAAGTGCCCCTTGGCCATGACATGTGACCTTGCTGGAGCAGGAGGCCTGAATGGTTTCCTTGCCTTGCACAGCCCTGATTGAGTCCCTCAACCAGAAACCACAGTCTGCCGGTGACCAACCCCAACCCACAGACACCACCCATGCGACCCATAGGAAAGCAGGTGGGTCCGACACCCCCTCGGCCAATGGCGAAGCCGGGGGAGGAGGAGAGACCACCAAAGGCTACACTTCGGAACAAGTAGCAGCTGTGAAAAGGTAGGAGGCTGCACCTGGCTGCAGGGGATGGGGCTGGAGGCGGTGGGAAGTTTTTAAGTCTAGAGAAGGCTTCCTGTGGGGTGTCCTCCACCTCACGTCTGCCTGTGGTCCGGTTGGGCCCTGGGAGGGTCTTGAAGATGGAGGGAGTCCCGATGGTCAGGCTCACCAGGCCCACTCCTTATTCCCCACAAGGCCCTGGAATATAGTGTGGGAATCAGAACTCCACTGTCCCCTCCTGCCAAGACAACCCACAGCAGAGTCTGGAAATGCTGACACCACCGGTTCTTCTACTGCCTGGCCTCTTTACACAGTTCTGTTTGTCAGAGATGAGGCCTGGTCTCTCCCCCTCCCCCCATCCTCCCCCAATGCAC